AATTTCTATAAAGCTCTCATTGTGAATAAAGAGGCTGTACATGATACTTTAGTATAAAAATTGGCAAGCAGCAAGTCATTTATACGAAAGCAGAATTCGTCAAAGTACTGTATACTTGAAAAAAGAGTACAGGTAGGTGATTTACTACAAGAGTTTATAGACTGCAGATGGCACAGCAGTGTAAAATTGCTCAGCAACAGGATAGTTTTAATCAGGGATGATAGGCCTAACTAGTATATGCTTAACTTTTATTTCATTTAGAGGGATAGGGGGTTGTATTGTATATGAGTAATACAATGTGAAGTACTGTAGTTTAGGTGCACGCTATCCTTACACTTTGATTTTTTTCCTTCTAGTGTATGTGTTTTTTTCTCTATTGGTTGAACTGGATGGACTTTTGTCTTTTTTAACTAGATTAACTATGTAAATAAAAAACTAACCAATTTTAACCCCTTCACACCTAGAGGTAAACAAGCCTTATAGCCTAAGCACAACTTTGCAACTTTGACATGTTTTAGCAAAAACCACACATATAATCACAGCTACTTTGTACATCCAGATGAATTATGCCTTGTTTTTTTTCAGTACAAATTGGTCTTTCATTTGGTCGTGAATGGTAATGGACATCTCCTGATTTTTTTTTATTGTCAAAGGAAAACTGGCCCAAAATAGTAAAAAAAAAAAAAACACGTTTTTTTTAATTTGTAAGGGGTAAGGTAAGTGAGCGCAATCAGAAAGAGTGAGCAGCTAACATACAGGGTAATCCTCAACACCTTGAATCGTAAAAATATAAATGGGATATGTAGCGCTAGAGAGTATATAAATCAATCAGAAAAATGTATCACCATACATAATAAGCTAATATATAACACTTCTATTATAGAGGTATAAGGTCAATTAGGCATAAAAATGTTCATATAGTATATCAGGAAAGGTATTGGATGTAATCCCAATGTGCTTCAAATCCAACTTGATAAAATGGAGAAAGATATAGTGTGGCTATGCACTTACCACATAGACATACAATTTAGGCATTGTATGCAAATCATCATAAGGTGGACATCAAGGTCTGGTCAGCAGCATGAGCAGCATCTGGTCACCATAGTGGACACTCAGGGATGATGGTACACACACTCTCGAGGGTCCCCTCAGACTCACCAGCAGGTCCAACGTTGTCCAGGTATCTAATGGCCCTTCACTCCAGAACGCCACCTTGCAAAGCTCATAATAAACGAGCCAGGAGGCAAGAAGGTACCAATAGTGAAGTACGTTTATTCAAAGTAGTGCAAAACAAACAGAAAAGGAAGGAACTCACATAAGCATAAAAACATCCAGGTCTGATTCCCAGGCTACCTGGTGGCTAGTGGTTCCCTGGTGGTAAAAGGCGTCAATTGGGTGGATCCCCTGATATGTTTCGAGCAGCACGCTCGTTTTCAAAGGGGTAAATACTGCCCAAGGTTGCCAGGTTGAAATAGCCGCGGTTGCGCATGTGCAGTGAGCGCCACGCGCCGCTCGAGGTGACCACGTGTGCGTGAGTGACGTCACGCGCCGACAGACGTGTAACTATTCCGCATGCGCGAGCGCATCACTCGCGCAGATGCTGACGCCTTTGTCATTTGTTTTTCATTTAGCTATATATTTCTTGCTACTACCATAACCTACCACCTAAGAACAGCCCAAAATAAATGTTCCTGCTCCTGACAATTGCAGCAATACCACATATGTGTACAATATGTTAGTTGTTGTTTGTACCTATAGTACTGCCCAGAAACAATAGTGTGCATGTTGCTTTTTTTATCCTGCCTAAAATACAATGATGCTGACACTGATACTAATTTAAAAATTTTAAAAAAATCCTGACCAAAAAAAACCCTGACCCTGATCTTGACCCAAACACTAACCCTGGCACTGACCTAGATCAAATCCTGATCAAGGTATTTTTAATTATTTTTTAATTTATTATGATTATTATTATTATTATTTTTAAACACACACTTTTGTTTCCTCTCTTAATGGACAGAGAGAAATATAATGTATATCTCTCCTCCATTCTGAGAGAGAAAACATGGGGGTGGGTTTCACAGTGAATAATTACTGTGATAGCCAATCAGAGGCTATCACAGTAATCAGGTGACCTGGAATCAGGAGTTCTGGGCCCCAATCATTACCACGGGACCCTGGGCTCTCGGTGGGACCCTGCACAAAGTCAGGTACGCAAATATGTGGCCCCTTGGAAAAAAAAGCCCAGTCCAGTGGGGCCTCATATTTGTCATAGGAAAAAAAAAAAAGGTTTTGTTACCAACAGAACAGCAACTAAAAGGGACCACTTACTTCAAATCAACCACAAAGTAAAATGAAAGCCAAAAAGCTCCCAATAGCATGAATTTGCGTGGATTTCGAAAACAGAGTACCCATTTAAAATTTAGATAAAGTTTCCTAACTGAATGTAATCTACCTCTTGTAGAACTTTGTCAGATTGTCAGCTTTTCCTACGCTTTCCCTACAACAGCTTTCAACTCATTGACACTATGGGGTTGATTTAAAAACACTGGAGAGTGAAAAATCTGGTGCAGCTCTGCATAGAAACCAATCAGGTTCCAGGTTTTATTGTCAAAGCTTAAATGAACAAGCTGAAGTTAGGAGAAGATTGGCTACCATGCACAGCTGTACCAGATTCCGAGTGCACCAGTTTTAGTAAATTTACACCTAAGGCTGTTCTGTGCCCCCCTCCCTTTTTATAATGAGGGGACTGGCTAATCCAAAAGCCCCTTTATACATTCTGAAAGCCATAGTTTAACACCCATACAGTGCATTGTGGGTTAAAAAACTTCTCCTGGGCGAATCTGCACAAAAAAGAGATTTAATAATAATTTACATATAAGTCATGGGTGATATTGTAAGTAAACTAATTTTTCATGTTTTTTTTATTCATTTTTGTTTAGTAATCGAGATTTGTACATTATGTACTGTACAAATAAATGCATCTGAGGCATTGCAAAATATTTTTTCATCATGAACTAATATTTCCTGTGAAATATAATGCTTTAAATTGTGTAGAGAAAATGCTTGAATGGAGGTATAACATTTCCCACTTTCATTTTATTGATAAGAGAAAAATTTATATTGAAAATCACATACCTGAATTTGACTCCATTCTCATTTGCATTGTGACACGACAGAAAAAGGTTTTCTAAATTCTTATTCATACTGAATGAGCCCAAGAACTTTGGAATAAAGGTGTGTCCACTTTGAAAAAAGTATTTATTCTAATATGTTCAGACATGCACTAGTGGCTTTTCAATATTGACAGACTGCTAATAGGAGGATAACATTGTATTGGTAAGGACTGGAGTCCCAATTACCCCTTTACTAGCTCACATTAGAGAGAGAAATAACTGAAGTAAGTGCAATAAATATAAGATGTAAAAAATAAAGGGCTTTGAAATCTGTCAGCTTTTAAAAACCAAAATCAATGTGAAGAACTTTTTTTTTTTTTTACTTTTTACTTTTTCATTTTGCTGGCCTTTTGATGTCTTCAGCTTTTCTGTTTTATAAATGACCAAAAAAATATGATTGAAGTTGAGTGAAATTTCAGCAAAGTCAAGCAAAGTTAAATACTGAAGCAAAATGGCTTTAGTATTTTTACTAAAAATATGTTAGTATTTTTAAATATAGTTTGGAAGCAAAACTGTTGTGCTGGCAGTTTTAACAATCAAATGCTCCATATTCAAATCCACCTTTCCTTAGGTATTTCTTAGGTATATATTTTAACAGGCTTTCTTTTCCATTAGCTTTAATCAATAGTGCCCCACCAGAATACATGTCAGCCTACAAGACACTTTAAAAGTTAAAAAGGAAACAAATAGGTGTAACCCTGATCAATCTGAAATCAGTTCATTATCTTTAGATTACTAATTCTTTGGTGGCTTATTCAGGTACCCCATCTAAAAAACATACAGTATTTGCAAAATCACACTGCATGGTACCATGACAAAAAAAAGATCAGTATATCTCGCTTTGGGGAATTTCTTCATTAACTGCTTGCCCGCTGCCCCCTATAGCAGAAATACTACTACAGGACGGCACGGCTGCGCAAAATCACATATATATATGTGATTTTGCATTCCTGGGTAGGGGGCATGCGTGCCCTATCCGTGCCGCAGTTGGAAGCTTCAGCTGTTGATCACTGGGTCCCAGCCGGAGATTCCCCGCCAGCACCCGGCGATCGCCGAGTATCACTGACGGGGGAGAGGTCTGTATGTAAACAATACAGATCTACAGATCTCTCCCCTGTCAGCACCAGCACGCTGCTTTGTATGGCTCTGCATAGCAGAGCCATAGAAGCAGTGTGCTTACACTGTAAAACACACACACAGCACACAGTAAAACAGCACACAGTTAACCCTTTTTTTGCCCCAGATGTTAACCCCTTCCTGCCCAGTGTCATTAGTACAGTGTCAGTGCTTTTTATTAGCACTGATCCCTATATTAATGCCACTGGGGATATAACTTTCACATAATCCAATTCATTTACACGTATATGGATTTTTTTTTAGCAAAGACCTGTAGCAGAATACCATTTAGCCTAAATTTATGACGAAGTTTTATTTTTTTATTTTTTTTTGCTGGACATGTTTAACCTCCCTAGCGGGCTGATTATGTCAGTATTTCTGTGCTCAAAGCAGTAATTTTTTTTGCATGGAAATATGTTGTTTTTTTATTGTAGGCCTGTAATTCTTAGGAATAACTCACTGAAATCTGTCCAAACAAGAGTCTAGTAAACATCCCGGATGTGATAAAGTTTGAAACACAAAATCATAAATTATAATATAATAAACAATCATGAAAAAATAATAATATAATAATACATTTAATTCAATAATGTAATCAAACCAAAAACACTGAAATTTGAAATAGAGCGCCAAGTTCGCACTTCGCTGAGCTCAGTCGCAGAATCGTTTTCAGTGTCTGATGACAAATTTCCCCACAATCATTATCATTCAATTCTGCAAGTGGTTCTAATTTATTATCGCTGTTCTCTAGCTGGTCTAAAACCGCTTTTGACCTAAAGGGACGCTTTTTGGACGCCATAGACGTTTCTCAGTTTCCAGGCAGAAAGAACAGTCAAAATGCAGGCAGGGCACAGGACAAAGCAGTAGGGACAAAATGTATGTGAAATGGTTTAATAAAGTAATGTTATACTATGAGATTTTAGTGTATTGAGTGAATGTCATATTTAAAACTTTTAAATTTCCATCCCCCGTACGTCCCCGTACGTCCCCGTACGTCCCGACACTCGCAGGGAACGGAACCCGGAAGACGGATGCCGGCATCGGCCAGAGGAGATGGCCGGGGACGCTGTAGGGGGGACATTGCGGGAGCGAAGGACAAGGTAAGTGCTGGAGGGAATCCCTGAGCAGCGCTGCATTGTAATCCCGAGTGTAGCTCACTGTTACCGCTTTTGGTACTGACAGTTAACCCTGAGCTACACTCGGGAATACCACCAGGGAGGTTAAAAGAAAAAAGTAAAAAATATAGTTTTTTTCTCAAAATTGGCAGTCTTATTTTGTTAATAGCGCAAAAAAATAAAATTTGTGGGAAATAAAGGACATAAATTTCATTTGGGTGCAGTGTTGCATGACTGCGGAATTGTCAGTTAAAATGGCCTGGTCAGGAAGCGGGGTAAAAATCCTTTGGGGGCAAGTGGTTAAACAGTTCCAAAGTAAAGGACTTAGCTTATGTACTGTAGATAGCTTTATGTGCAATGTATTTGTTACTTTGTTGAGTATGCAAGTTGCTATTTTATCCACTATGACCTGGAATAGGAATCTTTGTGTCTTCATACCAGCTGGTTAGATATGTACTTACTTGAGTCTGTCTGCTCTTTGTGGGGCAAGTTAAAGGGTTTCATTGCACAAATTAAATCTCTGTTATGATCCTATTTACATCTATGCAGTGCAGTCCAATTCGTATTATAGTGATCCCTTCCAAAGGGAATTTAGTATATACAGTATATGCTATACTCTGTGCATACAGTATATATGTGTATACATTGTATATCATTTTTTTATCAAGTAAATACTTTTAAATTTATCAAGTAGAGCTCTAGGCTCTTTTCATAAAGTTTTAAGTTCCACCTTATCAAAAATATTGTTGTTTACAAAATTAATTTCCTCAAAAGCACACACAAGTAAATGAGTTGGAGCAGTGATGGCTCAGATAGTTAACATTTAAGCTGGCCATAGATGGATCTTTTTTTTCTTTTTGATCAGTCAGCCGGCTGACAAACCAAATTCCCCCTTCCACACATTTGAGGTGGATGGTGTAATATACCAGATGCTCTATTGTATTCTGACAGAGGGACCCCAGAATACACCGATCGGCTCTGCAGCCAATTTGGTTGCAAATTTTGATAGAGCAAAATATACAAACAGTTCCATTCAGGAGGAGCTGATCACTCGATCTACTCCTCTCGAACAGGAACTGATGAACCGGCTGAATTTTGATCCATGTATGGCCAGCCTTACAGTAAAAGCCTTTCTACTGTTGTGCTGTGTTTACATAAGACATCATTCTCTGGGAATCTATTGTCATGCAATAATGCTTATTTGTAAAATTAGAATTTTATGCATACAGTAAAATACAGACCTAAAACACTTACACAATTAATCCTCTTAAAGGATAACCTTCACCTTCACCTTTTTTTCACAATGCAATCTGATTGTACAATCCCTGTACAAATCTCTGTACAATTTCCTTTAGATTTTTCAGAACTATTGAATAGAAGGACCCACCTATCTACCCAATTGCTCTGTATCCAATCAGGCAAGCCCTCACACTACATAGTTGATGGTAGATCTAAAGGAGATTCTACAATCAGATTGTATAGTGTATGTGAATGTTACAGAACCCAAAACACAATTATCCTGTTTTCAATACTACAGCTCTATCCACATAGGCTGTTATCTGTTCATTAACCTCCTTGGCGGTATTCCCGAGTGTAGCTCGGGGTAACATTTCAGTACCAAAAGCGGTAACCCCCGAGCTACACTCGGGAATACCATGCGGCACTGCTCCGGCATGTGTTCTTCACTTACCTTACCCTGCGCTCCCACGATGTGTCCCCTGCAGCGTCCCCGGCCATCTCCTCTGGCCGATGCCGGCATCCGGCTTCTGTGTCCTGTCCCTGTGACGTCGGGACGTACGGGCGCCGCCGCCGCCGGCGGCGGGAAATTTAAAAATTTTAAAAAATGTAATTTTTTTTTTTTTTTCATTTTACACAGTAAAACATTGCTGTTTCAACCTATTTCACATACATATTGTCCCTAGTGCTTTGTCCTGCACCCTGCCTGCATTTTGTCTGTTCTTTCTGCCTGGAAACTGAGAAATGTCCATGGCGTCCAAAAAGTGTCCCTTTAGGTCAAAAGCGGTTTAGATCAGCTAGAGAACAGCGATAGTAAATCAGAACGCTTACAGAATTGAGTGATAATGATTCGTGGGGGAAATTTCGTCATCAGAAACTGAAAACGATTTTTGCGACTGAGCTCAGCAATGTGCGAACTTGGCGCTCTATTTCACATTTCAGTGTTTTTGGTTTGATTATATTATTGAATTAAATTTTTTATTATTTTTATATTATTTTGATGATTATTTATTAAATTATAATTTATGATTTTGTGTTTCAAATTTTATCATACCCGGGATGTTTACTAGACTCTTGTTCGGACAGATTTCAGTGAGTTTTTCCTAAAAATTACAGCCTACAATAAAAAAAAAATGGTACCGCTTTCAGCACCAAAAATCTGAAATAATCATACCGCCAGGGAGGTTAAGCACACTATGCCAAATGAATGATCTATGCAAGATGAGAGTTGAGGTAGAAAAAAAAAATCGATGTCTGTGTAGTTAGTAAGAACAGTGATCAGCTGCTCAGTTCCTTCCCTTGTCATGACCTAAAGTCTCTGCAGTAAATAAGGCAGACGGAATGGAAAAGCATTTTTGCACAGCCATCTGGGCACTGACAAAGGTGGGTAGAAAAAATGGAAATCTTTAGAATTTCTTCCAAAGAAGTACATTAGTGCTATACTGGTACATAGGGGAGCTGGAATCTAGAAAAAAAGGTGAACAAACATAATATTTAAGATACTCAAGGACTTCTGTAAATGCTTTTCATGACTGTGTGCCATGGAATGAACCTTTGATGACACTGAGGCTGATTCTCTCTTTGCACAAATCACCCTCCTGGCACTCTCAATAGAGCAACCTGATTTCCTTGAACACCCAATCTCTTCAGAAGAGGTGTTTTGTGATATCAAATGTCTTAAGCCAAGTGAATGCCCTGGTCAGGATGGTTTGTGTGTGACATATTACAAAAAGTTTGATCTACTATTTCCCCTCTTAACCAGCACCTTTAATTTCTTATTTAACCAACACTCCTCCCTACAGGAAACCCCAACTACAATAATCTATATATGCCCTAAATCACATACAGATGATGGTACAAACCCATTTCCCTCCTCCAGCTGATAATAAAATTGTAGCCAAAATACTAGCCAGCCGTCTCAAACCCATAGTTGGATCACTGGTCACCAAAGATCAGGTTGGGTTTTACCCCTCTGCCAAGCTGGAGACAACATTCGTAGGGCGACTGTGCTGATAAAGGCAGCCTATGCCTGGCGTATTCTAGCTTGCCTTCTCTACTTTTAGATATTAGGAAGGCATTTGATACTGTTTCATGGCCTTATCTTTCTTCTGTGTATAACAACCATAGGACATGCATAGTTAGTTTGGCTGAAAAAATACAAAAGTCCATCCAGTTCAACCATAAAAAAACTGTTATAATCCTACACCCACAGTTGATCTAGAGGAAGACAAAAAACCCAGCAAAGCATGATCCAATTTGCTCCTGCAGGGGAAAAAATTCCTTCCTGGTCCCCGAGAGGCAATTGGATATTCCCTTGATCAACTTTATCTATAAATATTAGTAACCCGTTATATTCTGTGTATCTAGGAAAGAATCCAGGCATTTTTTAAAAACAATCCACTGAGTTGACCAGAACCAACTCTTGAGGAATCTATTCCACATTTCCACAACTCTTACTGTGAAGAAACCTTTCTATATTTGGAGATTAAATTTATTTTGCTACAGACATACAGATTGCCCCCTTGTCCTCTGTGATGACCTCAAGGTGAATAACTCTACACCAAGTTCACTATATGAACCACTGATGCATTTATACATGTTGGTCATATTACTCCTTAATCTCCTCTTATCAAGAGAGAATAAATTCAGTTCCTCTAATCTTTCCTCATAGCTGATCTCCTCCATGCCTCTTATCAATTTGGTTGCCCTTCTCTGTACTTTCTCCAGTTCCCCAATGTTCTTTTTGGGAATTGGTGCCCAAAATTGAACTGCATATTCCAGATGAGGTATTACTAATGATTTGTACAGGGGTAATATGATATCTCTCTCTCTTGAGTCTATACCTCTTTTATTACAAGAGAGGATTTGCTCGCTTTAGAAACTGAAGCTTGGTATTGCTTGCCATTATTAAGCTTGCGATCCACCAGAACCCCCAGATCCTTCTCCACCATTGATTCCCCCAGTTGTACTCCCCCTAGTATGTATGATGCATGCATATTCTTAGCCCCCAAGTGCATAACCTTACATTTATCAACATTAACCCTCATTTGCCACATAGTTGCCCAATTAAACAGTGCATTGAGGTCGGCTTGTAAGTAGAAGACATCCTGTAAGGACATTATTCCACTGCACAGCTTGGTGTCATCTGCAAAGACTGAAATGGGATTTATAATCCAAGACCCTATATCGTTTATAAATATATTAAAAAGTAAGGGTCCCAACACTGAACCTTGGGGTACACCACTGACAACCCTAGACCATTCAGAGTATGAATCATTAACCACTACTTTCTGAATACGTTCTTTTAGCCAGACATATCTGAAATACAAAGGTTATCAATTGGACCCATTTTCAATAGACAGTGGCACCAGACAGGAATGCCTACTATCCCCTTTCTTGTTTGCACTTACCATAGAATTGCTTGTCCAACTAACCCACTCTAATCCTAATATTAGAGGATTAGAGATAGGTGGATACCATCATAAAATCTGTCTTACATCATAAAATCATCATACAAATGTATTTGTGGTTGACATTCTTTTTTTACATCCCCTCTCACTTCTCCCCCAACCTCCTACAGATTTTTGATTGCTTTGCCAACATATTGGGTTTGACAGTTACCCACAGACATCTAGAGCTCTGAATATTACTTTGCCCCAATCCTAAATCAGCCAGATACAAGAGGTACTTTCATTTTCCTTGGCGCCGCATCATGTCTCATATTTAGGTAAACAATTACCAGACAACCTCTATAAATTCAGTTATCCTTCCATGCTAGCCCATCTCTCATTTATTTTAATTTTCTGGTGCTCCCTGCTTATTTCTTGGTT